TGTCATTTTGCTTTGCGTTACTTAGTTCCTGGAACAATTCAGTGCTGCTTTTATCCCTAAGATGTGCTTTAAGGAACCTTGTTAACTCAGCAAGGGTCAGGGTGTCTTTGGTCATGAGCATGTCTTTAAAGGTACCAGGCTTAATTACCTTGAGCACGGTTCTGACGACCTCAGTTTCTGAGAACCCCTCAGCTAGACCTTCATCAATTTGTTTACACAGACAGTTAAAACTCAAATCAGAAGCTGAGTCTGAGATTTGACCACCATGTATCTTAAACTCTCTATGTGGTAACAATGCCACAAAATCTGTCAGTATCACTAAACCAGTTACAGGATCAGCAATCACTGATGTTGAGACTCTCTTATTCATTACTGATGCTACTACTGCTGGTTCAGTCTCTGATACAGCCACAGCATCCCCTTCATCAGATGCTTGACCACGTTCAACAGTTACCTGGGATGCTTGCAGGTCATCAATGAGGTCACAAAATGAAAGCAGACGAGACATGCCCTGATCTTCGAGGCTCTTCAGTCGTTTACTTCTCAGAAAGTCAACGATAAACTCAAAAAGCTCCACCTCGGTTGCATCCTCACCGGGAACATCTTCCACCTCTTCTTCTTGACATCATACTACAAGTTTATGTAGCAGGTCCCTGTTAGCGGCTCTGGTCAGCTGATGAAGCTGGTTTTGGATCTCCCACTGTAGGTCATGTAGAGTGGCCATGTCTGGATACCTGGCGTCAACCGTCACTACTGTTGTGCATCAGAAGGATATGGATCCCGCGATTCTTGGCTGATTAGCACCTGACCACCATGGCGCTAATCCCGGACAAGCCCCCAGAATTGTTGCCTCCCTAAGATGATGACCAAAGGGGCAACTGGTTTCCTGTTCAATAACGTGTGTGTTGAGCTGATGTCAGTTTCACAACAGGAAGGTTTATTCTTCCTCTGTGCCCCAAAACGCTACTCGATACCACTGCGCGTAATGCGCCCTCTAGCGGCTGTATGCGGAATAGCATTGTAAACTGGCAGGTACACACATACAATCATAACAACAACCTTTTGGGGGGGAGGCTGTTTTCCCCCGCCTTTTTTTTGATACGGGGCTGTTTTCTCCATCTTATTTCTGATACCAGATTTTACTAGAGAGCCATTTTCTACTCTCTACATTAACATTGTATCACTCACTGATTGAACCATATTTATTTTATTGTTTAGAAATTTGGGGAGCCACTTGCAAAACTTTTACACAACCATTGTTCATTTTGCAAAAAAGAGCATTGGGAATCATTAATAACAGTAACTATAGAGATCACACTAATCAATTATTTATTAGATACAAAATACTGAAATTTCCTGACTTGGTAGAGTGGAAAATATTGCAAATAATGTACAGAGCGAATACGAGTAATCTACCAACTAATATTCAGAAAATGTTTCATAAGAGAGTAAGTGGGTACACGTTAAAAGGAACTGATGTCTTTAAGAAACCTAGATTCAGAACCAAAGTGAGGGAATGTAACATTTCTGTAAATGGTGTAAGATTGTGGAATGCCATTAACAAGGAATTTAAAGAATCAACTACACTTGCTATATTTAAAAAATGTATAAAATCTAATGTATTTAGTAATTATGAAAAGGAGAATTATAATATCAAAGATTAGACATGAAAATATTAGAAAGTGACTGAGGTTATACTGTGTTTGTTTGGCGGATAATTTTATTTCGTAAAAAGGGGCAAAAATCATAAGATTTTTTCTTCTATCTGCTCCTTTTCATTCAAATGTTTTTTTCCAATATGTTAATGTATGTTGTATTTGTTTGTGTTTATTTTATACATTGTGAATGAAATAAAAGATTTTAAAAAATCCTCTTGAATTGGAAAAATAGAGAAATTCTCTGCATTAACCAGTATAGAAATCTTTTGTTAGATCATATTACACTTGATTTAGCCTCTGCTTCCACTTCAAGTCAATCTCTCTGGGCTCCTTTGATCGGTTCCATCACATAGCGATGATGGGGGACCATTGATGTTGTCCTGCGGGATGATGTGGGTGTGGGGGTGGAGGGTCTGAATTTGGAGTATCCGGATGTTCCCTGGGGGTGGGTTCACTAGGGGTGTCTGGGACTGGGGGGCCGTTGCCCCACTCTGGAGGTGCTTGGGTTGCCTCGGAGGGTGGACTACTGGCGGTTGTGAGTGGGGCCCCTTGGAGGTCTTGGCAGTGGCCATGAGTCACTGCCTGGCAGCTGCATTGCCCCTGGGCGGGTCTGGGTGGGGGCCTGGGGGCTGGGAGTGTGGGGGTGGCTGGCCCCGTGTAGGGATCTGGGCGGGGCCTTGGGGGTCGGGTCCTGACATGTATGCTGCCGGGAAGAAGGCAGGAACATGCAGCAGTGCCTGGCCCGGGTTCACGGGCCTTGGGTAGACCTTGGCTCCTCTGCTGTCCCATCACAGGGGAGGGGGAGGTCCAGAAGGGGGAGGACCCAACCTTACCTGGATGTCCTATGTCTTGTATATTCTGGAAGTTTTGCAAATGCAGGGATGGGCATAGATATTCTGCTGGGGTGGGGCTGGGTTGGTGCCCTCGGACTCTGTGAAGCTCTCTAATGCTGCTGCTTTGGGCCCTGGCAGGATGGGGTGGGGTCCCCATGCCCTGGGTGGCAATTTGACAACAGAGGTGCCTATTGGGGCCAGTGGGAGAGCTGGCTCCCTGGAGGGCTAAGCCCAACCAGCCATTCCTCCCCATCCCCACATTTTTCTCTCCTCCTGCTCCCTCACATCATCACACAAACATGCACATAGGACCTGGGGGGTGGACAAGTCAGGGAGTGCGGGTATGGACCCCATTTCCGCATTCCTGTGGCAGCCTGCCCCCCGATTTTATTTGCATCTTATACTCTTCCACCGACGACATTTCACGCAAATGCACACTTAGGGCCTTGGGAGTGAGCACATTCAACGGCACTCGGCAGGGAGGTTTCTCAGCCTCCTCCCGAATGCCGGGGCCCACTTCCAATTTTAAACTGCACTTAAGACACCGAGGGCTGTGGGTGCAAGTGGGGTGGTGTGGTGGCATCAGCTGGCATAGGCCAGGCAATGCCTGCACTGCCCGCTTACCACAGCCATGGAATACACCTCATCAACACACAACTGTATTGGAGCAGACGGAGGGAGACTAGGGGTCTTAGCACACCTCTGTTGTTGCTTGGCTTCCTGGGGCTGGAGGCTAGGAGGGAGATCTGGCCGTCTGAATGGGGTCTGGGGTGGTGGGTTGCTGTGCTCAGCGTTGGGCGGGGAACCTGCTCATCAGCACCCCAGCAGCAAGGGTCAAACTCTGGTAATCGGTGATGGTTGTACCCAATGTGCAGCAGTACCGGGACCAGAGTGAATAGGGTGTGTATGGGGAGCATGAGTGGGTGTCCGGCATGCATTTTTGTAAGTCTTGGGTTGTATGTGCATGTGTGAGCATGAGGGAGGGAGTGTGTGACTGTGTTTGTGTATGACTGTATATGTGAGGTGGGGCCTTCGACTCCTCCCCTCTCCTGGGACTACTTTTGATGATATAGATCTTCGTCTCCCCTCCCCCACCACACCTGGTGTGGGGTGTGGTGCCTTGGTCTGCCTGAGAGTTCGTGGCTCCCGGGTCAGGGGGTTTAAGAATTTTGGGGTCTGCCTGATCAATCCCGGTGGCTGCCTGGTGGGGTATGGGTCCCTGGGCTCTGCTGGGTCCCCGGCGGGGGTGGTCGCCCCTGGGTCCCGGGTCGCTGGGTCCCGGGCTCGGCCGGCTAGGGGGTGGGAGGCTGCGGGCGGGCCTGTGGGCTTGCCGCTGATATCTCCTGGGACTCTGCCGGCTGCTGGTTGTGGCCCCTCGGGGGCGATCCTCTGTGACTCTCGAGGGGGGCGGGGGCCTTTCTGGTTGCAGTCTCCTTGGGGTTCCTGTGTTCTGGGGCAGCACCTGGATCTCTGGGACTTGGAGCTCCCCCCGTCTCCTACACATCTTTGGGGGGCAGATCTGTGGACCCTCACACTCAATTGGACGCTCCTATAGAGAAACTTTACATGAACAAGCGCGTGTACACACAGTTGCTCACATAGTGCTCTCAAAAGTATGGGCTTGGGCACGTTCAACACAGGTCTTAAGACTATGGTGGGCACTTAATGCACTGTGATTTATTATCGTGTGATTGTTCAGTTAAACAATGTTGATTATATATTTCTTCATTAAGTTGACACAGTGATAGCTTGACCTTGTTGTATTGTTGTTGTGTCCCTTTTTTTTTTTTTTTGCTTTTTTTCTTGTCTCTCTCTGCAGGTCTAGAAGCAGACTCTTGTTCATTATTGTTTATTTTTGTGCCCCCCCCCCCCCTCCCCCTCCACACCTTTTGTCTTTTCTTTTCTCTTTCACCTCTGACTCCGTGTTTGGTCGGAATTACAAAGCATTCAAAAACAATAACAATAAAGTTTTAAGTATCAGGCGTGGCATTAAAAGCAGACGCTTTGATGCTCCACCTGAGAGTAAATCTGTAAGGCTTGTTACCAGCATTCAGACATCAATTCTGTTTGCTTCACAGCCAGACAGGACACGGTTAAAAAAAAGATAAAAGAAACACTATGTATGCACAGGGAGGCTGTAGTTGAGATTTAAACCTGCAACCTTCTTGCTGCGAGGCAACAGTTATACCAGTTGTGCAACCATGCAGTCTTTTAAGCAAACATTGTTTTGAAAATAATATAAAGAACATAACATGGCATGCTGAATACATACAAACAAGTATCTACTAAAAACTACTAAATTTGAATGACATTAAAAAGACTTTAGTCAAAAATAGGGAGTATTATTTGGTAGGGTAATTCTAAGTAAAAAGCTATAATTTCAGTTTTTATTAAGGGGCTTCCAATATAGGCAACAATTATGAAAACAGCAGGCTTATTTGATTGGACGTTTGTGTTTCTGAAGTTGGCCAATGGACAAGAGGACTTAGATAATGAACAAGAAGGGGATATGAAAAACACTACAGAAGAGCTCCAGTGTCTGCAGCAGCTTTGTCTCGACTGATGGAGCTTAGATTCGCTACAGGTTGACTACACATTTAAAATGGACCTGTTCAACTCCGCTCTTGGCATAAATATCTCCTTCATCCGACCTGCATATTTTATAATAAGTGGATTTATTGGCATTCCTTATATGAAGTACTACTATGTTTTTCTCTGTTTTGTCTATATTGCTTCAGTCCTTGGAAACACAGTAGTAATGGTTCTGATCTACTTGGATCATAACCTCAGAACTCCTAAATATGTAGCAGTTTTTAACCTTGCATTTGTGGACCTGTTGGGTAACACAGTTCAGGTGCCGAAGGTGCTCGACATCTTTTTGTTTAATCACTTTAACATCTCCTATAATGACTGCTTGACATTCCTGTTTTTCTGCTTTACTTGCCTTTCAATGCAGGCTCTTAACCTGGTTGCTCTCTCCTACGACCGGGTGGTGGCTATCATGTTTCCTCTGCACTATCAGACAAAGGTTACCCACAGATTTATGTTTAGTTTGATCGCCTTTTTCTGGCTGTTTGCTATAATAGCTCTTCTGGTTGCTGTTGGTCTTCTCACCAGACTCTCCTTCTGTGATTCAGTTGTAATTAACAGCTATTTCTGTGATCATGGTCAATTATACAAACTTGCGTGCAACAACACTTTTCCCAATTCTGTCATCGGTTTCTTGTTGCCATTTCTCATTCTTTGGCTTCCTCTGTTTGTGATCTTGTCCAGTTACATTTGTATTGGCTATGCTTTAGTTAAAGTAGTGACAGTTAATGAACGAATGAAGGCCTTCAAAACCTGCACAGCTCATCTTTCATTAGTGGCGATCTATTTTATCCCTATATTAATCACATTTACCATGAGTGCAAGAATACATCCTAATGCCAGAATAATCAACTTGTCTCTGACTTCAGTGTTTCCACCCATGTTAAACCCAATTATTTATGTTTTGCAAACACACGAAATCAAAAGTTCATTGAAGAAAAATTTTAAATTCATCAGGCGATCCAGAATTTTAGTTAAAAGAGATCGGACATAGTCCAAAAATCAATTTTGTTTTTACATTTATTTTGATTGTACTTATTGCAGGTTTCTTAGAGAACTGAAATTTTAATGCCAAATTGCACGATCAAATTAGCATCTATAAGCACCAACAAGAGACAATTAAGAGGAAAGATTTGGTGTTGAATTAACTTTATTAGTAATATTGTGTGCTTACGTGCTTGAATTGAGAAGTTATGTTTTAAAATCTAGTGAGATGATGAAAAATAAATGTTGTGGGCTCATATTTCCTCAACGATTATTTCAATACATTATATCAGAAATGTGTGACCTTTACTGGCTTATTTAAGCTATGGTGAAGTAAGATTTTATTTTGTATTTTTTACATCAACTACACATTTTTTAAAATGTTGTTTTTATTTAACTTGCTTTGATTAGGCCAGCTAGGATTCGAGTAAATAGGCCCACAGAGAAAGCAGATTATGGTTCTGCCCCTTTCTGTATTATATTTGATCAAATCCAATATTTCCTGAATAAAAACATATTTTCTTACAGTGTGTGAAGTGACTATTATATTGTCTTGAGTTATTGTATAAGAAATGTTCTATGTTTTATGTTTCATAGCTGGAAATGTTGTGGATTTAGTTGATGCTTTTTGGTGGAATAACCAAAATGATTCATTTTTAAAAAGAGGCAGAAGGGTGAAGTTAAGAAAAAAAGCCTAATTAGTTTAATTAAACTAAAAATCCTGTTGATTCTGTAAAATAAATAAAGAGGAACATAAAACTGTACTGAGTCAAACTACAAAAGCACAACTGTTTTCTGATGCTTGTGCAGGGACTGGTATTAAAACAATAAAAAGGCATCATAAAGAGTTAAGCTTCCCATACCTTGAACTGAAAGAGAACAACGGGAAGAGGCAACATCAGATGACAGAACAGCACTGACATCTGCAGCAGCACAGAGCTAGGCACAAGCCAATTTTAAAATGGACCTTTTCAGCTCTGCTCTTAGCAGAAATATCACCTTCATCCGTCCTGCGTATTTCATAATCAGTGGCTTTATTGGCATTCCATATATGAAGTACTGCTATGTTTTTCTCTGTTTTGTCTATATTGCTTCAGTCCTTGGAAACACAGTAGTAATGGTTCTGATCTACCTGGATCATAACCTCAGAACTCGTAGACATGCTGTAGTTTTTAACCTTGCACTTGTGGACCTGTTGGGTAACACAGCTCAGGTCCTGAAGGTGCTTGACATCTTTTTGTTTAACCATTTTAACATCTCCTATAACGACTGCTTGACATTCCTGTTTTTCTGCTTTACTTTCCCCTCATTAACCTGGTTGCTCTCTCCTACGACTGGGTGGTGGCTATCATGTTTCCTCTGCACTATCAAAGATCACCAACAGATTTATGTTTAGCTTAATAGCTTCTTTCTGGTTATTTTCTGTAATTGCTGTTTTAATAGCAGTTGGTCTCATCACCAGACTCTCCTTCTGTAATGCAGTGGTGATTAACAGTTATTTCTGTGATCATGATCAGATATACAAACTTGCGTGCAACAACAATTTTCCCAGTTTGGTCATTAGTACTTTGTTGCCATTTTTCATTTTTTGGCTTCCTCTCATCTCTGCCAGTTATCTTTGTATTGGCTAAAGTACAGCCATAGTTCACAACAGAATGAAAGCACTGAAAACCTGCACAGCTCATCTTTCTTTAGTTATCATTTACTTTATCCCTATATTAATCACATTTACAGTGAGTGCAGGAATACATCCTAATGCCAGAACAGTTAACTTGTCTCTGACTTCAGTGTTTCCTCCCATGTTTAACCCAATAATTTATGTTTTACAAACACAAGAAATCAAAACTTCACTGAGGAAACTTTTACAAAGTAGGAGGCGTTATGTTCAGATGAGTTCTGGTGCAACTCCAAGTTATTTTCTATATTGTAATTTCAAAAGGTTTTACTGCTAATTCTTTAACAGGAGAACTTGAGAAACAAAACACAATAGATTAAAATAAAATCTTATTTTACATTTTGTGTGGGTTATGTTTAAAACTCCAATTTTATCTCATAACATCATGAAACATCAGTTGGATTGGTTGTTGAGCTTCATAGATATTTACAAAAGCTGCAAGATCAGGTTCAACATATTTCACAGGGGTATTTTTCATCTTAGTGCAACAAAAAGGAGATTTGTCAACATGAAATTCTAATGAATTATTATTTGGCATATGAGCTTTCCAGCTTTAGCTTTTCTTTTAAAAGCTAACACATATGTTGCTCAATAGGGTCGTGTTGGGTTGGTGATGATGTTTCACTGAATCTGCATTAGGTATTTTATCACTGTATGCACACTAAACCACTATCATATAATATCAAAAGTCCAAATTATGTGTTTAATTTGTACAAAACAAAATCGTATCTCAACTGCTATAAAGAATTAAATTTAATTAATATCTAATGAACCCCATATTCTGAGTACCTATACCAATGGATTCTGAATATTATGCAAGTTGACTTAAGATTGCATGAACATTAAGAATCTTTCAGGAACAACAAATTAGTAATGGGACAAATGAAGCAAAGCTTCGAAGTCTGTATCGAGCCGGAAGGGGGCGTGTCTATGAAGCCCCGCTTCGAGGCTTGCTTCATAGGGACCCTGAGTCACGCCCATCGACTTCCGGACCATGGCTCTCTGGAAGAACGAAAAAATGAATTCAAGTCAATGGGGCTAAAAAGGCCATTTTCTAATTCCGCTTGTTTTGTAGCATGGATTTCACATATGAAGTTTGCAAATTTTAAAGAAGCATTTTGATACCAAGAAAGAGCTCATTTTCAAACAGGGGGAAATGTTATTTTAGCTTTTGTGTGAAAATAAGTCCAGGAAGTGACATCATCGAACCAGACATGGAGAAAAACAAAGGGAAATGGCTGTAAGTCCAGCAAACTTCAAATCCTTCCCACAGGAGGAAAGAACAACCAAAAATCAGGTCATTTGGTAAGTAGCAGCTACGCCAGGGGAGAGGAGGGAGATTATGTGGTGATTTCACATATGTGACGTGCCAATTTCTGGTTTGTAGTCATGCTAGTTATAAACTTTTAAAAGCTGATAAATCTCAAAGTGTGTGACTGGCGTGGTCAAAGCACCCATCGTTTGTTTTCATTAAAATTGCAGTTCAACATATGTGCGATCCAGGGCGTAAGGCAAAACGGATTAGAAAATTGTTCTTTCCGCCTCGTTGACTTGCATTCATTTTTTTCATTTTTCCAAGGACCAATGAGCCGACTAATGCTCCTTTCTCTACCCACACTGAGGTGACATGCGCTTCTTAACGCGGCTGCAGGAACTGAAATGGGGATAGTCCCAACCCACCACCCCACCTAGTGGACACTTATGTTGTGTTGTCTGAGGTCTGTTGCATATATGTTTGAGGTGGGTTTTTTTTTTGCAGAGCAAAGCTGCCCTCACGGTGGAGGGTAACTCTAAAGTTACTTGAGGAAATGGATGGTTCCTCTGAAGAGGGAGTGTTTTCCGCTTCAGATGTGTCTGAAAAACACAGATCAAAAAATAAATCAGTAAGAAAAGATCACAAAATTTATCTGTAAGAAAAGCACAATATTTTTACAGTAAAAGAGCATATAGGCATATAGTAAACTTAATAGAACTACTATGAGTTAAGGCCATTTTGTCATTTGGAATGTGTCCACTAGATGGCAGTAATTCACTAGTGATGTACAGATTAATTGCAATTTTATGTTATATTCTTATTCATTCGAAAAATATATACTTGTTAAAAGTCCACTCTAGGCTAACAACACTGCTGGCGCGACTTTTGGGATCTTTATAATATTAGATCGGCTCGCTGCTCCTCACTGTGGGTGCTCAGCTGTTTAAAACAAAGAAATGCTAACGTGAAAGGCTAACTGATTTTGCCACATTTTAAACAATGAGACGCTAACAAGAAAGGCAAACTCCACTCCAGCCTCATGTACGCAACAAGGACATGCTAAACATGAAAGGCTTATATCACGAACAGCGTGTTAAAAAACATGAGGGAATGCTAAATGAAGGTTAACATAAACACGAGGGGATGCTAAGCCTAGTTAACACGAGGGGGTAAATCCTCTCTTTACTTGCTGGGCATTTCTTAAATAGGTGCTGCTACTATTCAGTGTTTTTGGTGCTGCAATGAATGGCCTGTAGAGCTAAAAGGACAACAAAAGAAATGCCTACCAACAGGGTTTACGAGTGACTCCAGGATACTGGTCGCTGAGTCCAGGCCTCCTTCGCTGCCTAGGTTTGACGGTCTGTGTCCATAAATAGCGTCCACCACATCGTACCACTTCCATGTACTTCACCCATTCCCACTATGACCGTTGCTGTCCTTAACTTTTCTGTAGTGGACTTTTATTTTTTTCAGCTTCGCACGACACTGTTCGGAGGTGCGCTGGAATCCTTCAGCTGCCATGTGCTGAGAAACTTCTTTAAAGACTTTCTCATTTCTTATCATCCCATCCAGCTCGGCCTGAATGTTGCTATCTCCGATGATGGTGAGGAACGTTTGAAGCTAGGCATTGAACCAAAAGCTATTATTGCAGGAATTTTCGTGCACAAGGAGTACAGCCAAACACAATCACTGGAACACTGGTAGCTCTTTTCCATCACCTGGGATTGTCGCAGGTAGTTACGTAATTTCTCCCCCAATCAGAGGACTCTAGACCTTTTACGCTGTGGCTCCACCCAGACCAAAAATCTCTGGACCCACAACAGAAAGGGTCCCGCTCTGGCCCGCTACCGGCCCGGTCCGGGTAGGTTTCCTGGACTGGTTCAACAATCGAAACAAAATATTTAGCGACCCGATCCTTCCCATTCCATGCCAGTTTGGTTGGTGGAAAAGGCCTATAAGAGTCCGCCAGACGCACGGTTCCATCCAGCTGTTTTGACCAGAGACATCTCTGGACTGAAGAGTCGGTACCACGGTATTCTACAGCCCTCCGGTGCCAGAGGTCAGCCGACCCCTGCAACTTTCGGATCCACCAAGAGGGTCTCTTCAAAACGGGTGAAGTAGACATGACAGATTAACATGTCTGATGTTCCTCTGATGATAACATCTTCATAGCTTAGAGCAAACCAAATTATTTTCACCAGAACTCAGCTTATTTTGATAAGGAAGCTCTGACTGACATCATTCACACATAGGTTCCTTCATCACGTTTAGTTACATCCACTCACAGTAAATGCTTAGTGAATTCGTCATGTTTTAATTGTTTGCAAAATAAATTCTTACTTTTATAAACCTGACTCTTTCTTGAAGTAACAAGAAGTGTGGTTGATCACTGAAAAAGCAAAGAACCTAGATCTTCTGAACTAAATCCTAGAATCTTCTGATAATTAAAATAAAGAATCTTCTTATAATTAAAATAAAGAATATTCTGATAATATAAAATAAAGACCTAGCAGGTTAATATTTTACATTTATATTGAATATTACATCTTCCTGGTCATAACAAATAAAAATCATCAATTTGCCTACGCTAAACCTCCAACCTGACACAGCCAATCAAAACAACGGAAGATTCGATTTCGCCATTGAACAGAACGCGCCAACGGCTTTGCTGCTATCTATCTATCTATCTATCTATCTATCTATCTATCTATCTATCTATCTATCTATCTATCTATCTATCTATCTATCTATCATCTATCTATCATCTATCTATCTATCTATCTATCTATCTATCTATCTATCTATCTATCTATCTATCTATCTATCTATCTATCTATCTATCTATCTATCTATCATCTATCTATCTATCTATCTATCTATCTATCTATCTATCTATCTATCTATCTATCTATCTATCTATCTATCTATCTATCTATCTATCTATTATCTATCTATCTATCTATCTATCAGCAGTAAATAGTTACAGCTAAATGTCACAAATGTCACACAGGAACTTTTAATTATAATTAATGTAAATGTTTAAATTTCCATCTAGGGGTGGGCAATATCATGTCATTCATAATTTTACCAGTTACTGTATTATTTCCAATAAAGAAAAAAAACTCTATCATGTTAAGCTAACTTCATTCATGTAGTTGCATCGACTAAACAGAGGATTATGTTCATGTGGGTCATCAGCATGAAGTTATTGAAGTTATCAAAGCAAACATGGCTGGGATCAGTTTTGCCTGTAATCTGTGTGTGCTGTTGTAATGTCTGAATGTCCCCACTGTGGTACCAATAAAATCTACTCTATTCTATTCTATTAATTCATATCCGCCAGTAGGGGGGGGGGGGGGGGGAATGTTCGCGCTTACCATGGCTTCCGTTGCAATACCTACTTTGAACTGCGTGGTGCAAAAAGTCGAATGGTTTTACAAATTGTACTTTTAAGACCAAATTAGTTGGAAAACTCAGGCCAGACGTTTCCAGAACACAACTGCTGTTATCGAAAGATCTTGTTGATTTGTCAGATTGAATGTGATCAAATTTGCTGCCGCCTAGCAGCTTAAATTGGAATTGCACACAAAAAATGTTTGCATGTAATTATCCATAAAAAATGATATATTGCTTTTTTATATCAAATCAGTATCATAACATGAAATATCACATTTTTCTGTGTTTTGATATTTTCTTGCACACCTAGATTATGTCTATTATTTGGAAATAAAGTATTTTCAGGCACTGAGTTAATGAAGGATAGGGTGATGATTGGGATGTTTCTGCTTTTCTAGCTTTTTATAATAGTGTGAGCATGTTTCACCAATAAAAAAATGAGGGACTTAAAAAAAATTTTAAATGGTTCAATTGGATAAATTGTCTGGAAATAATTAAATAAAATTCCATAAATGTTTTTGTGCTTCCACTTACATTCATAATATAAATCGGTTAAACCAGGTTGCATTTAATGTCTTTTCCATTTTATCTGAACAAAATAACCCTGATTGACTGATGTAACATTTAAAACCAGTGTGTTTTGGATCAACTTTACTTTCAAGAGAATTGCAAAATCCCAATGAGTGAGAGCACCTCAGTCAGGCTTGTCTGATAATGATGCAAATACCTGCAGTCACCAGGGGAAAAGGCAATGACGTTATGTTTTTAAACAAAGTAAAGAGAGAGAAGCTGTCAGATAATTTAAAAGCTTGACTTATTTCTCTCAAATATAATCAGGAGACGGGTTCCCTCTGCAACTCAACAAATCAAGGGTGACTGTCAGAAAAGGACACTGCTAAATGAATCGCTGTTCTCTCATCTCTTAAATATTTTTTACAATGGAATTATTCAACTCTGCTTTAGGGAGAAATATCACATTTGTGCGTCCCCCATACTTCATAATAAGTGGATTTATTGGCTTACCTAATATGAAATATTACTATGTTTTTCTCTTTTTTGTCTATATTGTTTCATTGCTGGGCAACGCTGCTGTTATAACTGTCATTTATTTAGATCCAAACTTAAGAACTCCAAAATACATTGCAGTTTTCAACCTTGTATTTGTGGACCTGTTGGGTAGTACAGCTCTGGTGCCAAAGGTGATTGACATCTTTTTGTTTAACCACAATATAATTCCCTATAATGACTGCTTGACGTTCCTTTTTTTCTGCTACATCTGTCTTTCAATGCAGTCTTTTAACCTGGTTGCTCTCTCCTATGACCGACTGGTTGCCATCATTTTTCCCCTGCACTATCAGGTGAAGATGACCTACAAGTTCATGTTTTCCTTAATCGCCTCTTTCTGGATCTTTAACATAACTGCTGTTTTAATTGCAGTCGGTCTCATCACAAGACTCTCGTTCTGCAAATCTTTAGTTGTAAACAGCTTTTTTTGTGACCATGGACAGATTTACCGGCTTGCGTGCAATGACAATTTTCCTAATGATGTACTCAGTTTTCTGTATCCTGTTTTTCTTTTTTGGTTTCCGCTGGTTTTTATCCTGTTAAGTTATCTTTACATATTATACACATTAGCGAAAGTGGCAACATTACAACAAGGAGTTAAAGCTTTTAAGACCTGTTTGGCTCATCTCTCATTAGTGGTCATTTATTTCACCCCGCTGCTGGTTACATTCACTTTGATGGAAAAAATCCATCCAAACTACAGGATTATAAACTTATCTTTGACCTCAGTTATTCCGTCCATGTTGAACCCAATCATTTATGTTCTGCAAACACAAGAAATCAAGGTATCAATGAAAAAAATATTAAAAAGCTGCCTGAAAAACAAAATTAGAGCTCGAAAACCCCCAACCATGTGACTCATTCATTAAATGTGATTCTCTGACAATTTATTTTAGCTAGCATTTGTGAGATATTTACTATGTGGCCTCATTTGATACTGGTGAATATATATTAAAATTGATTAAGTTTTTTTGGAGTAAATGCAAATATTTTTATCAACATCTTTTTTAAAGATACTAGGTACTGTCCTTTTTTATATACAGCTACAAAGAAAACTAAATGTATGTTCACCTTCACTGAATGATCCAACATTACTTTTGGTAATTAGAAGTTTTTTTTTAATGATTTGTGACTAAATGACAATGCAACCTCTCCCGTTTCATTAAATGTGAAAACTTAAGTAGTTTTTCTGTCCTCAAACTTGTAACAAATATTTTTTCCTCATACTAATAAAAAAGATTATACTTATCATGTTTGCATGCAATTTATTTCTAACAAACTAGAAGTTGCCTTGAAGTTTATTTTTATTTGTAGGAAAAACAGTAAATTATCATTTAGATCAGAATATACCTTATTTTTACTAGTTTACCTTGATTTTAAGAACACGTGTAGCTGTGGTGTGGGAAACCCTTAAAGCTGCTTTCCGGACTTTCCTCCTTTCAGAAATGAAGTATGATTTTTCAGAAATCCATAAAAGTGATTATCTCATCATGTACTGTGATTAAATGTCAGCAATACATCTTTATTTATTTATTAATTTTTTGCTAAGCACGCCCCCTGCCCCGCAGAGTAGAGCCCTGCACTGAAGCCCTAGGCCCTCGGGTCGGGTCGGCCCGGCCCGACGGCCCTCGGGCCGGCCTTCGGGCCAACGACTGTGTAATTACCTTGGACACGGGCCGGGCCGGGCGCCTTTATTTTTAATCGAATTCGTAAAAAAAACTGAAACACTTAAAGCAGGGGTCGGCAACCTGTTCCCATCAAAGAGCCATTATTACCCATTTCCCACAGTAAAGAAAACACCGGGAGCCACAGCAGCCGCGGCGTTGTGGGCGGGGCCTACCCTCAGACAGCAGAGAGCTGCTCACAACAGGTGACAGCAGCCGGTACCGGTCGCTCGTGTACGTCAAAGTTATCTTTCATAAAAAGATAATCAATAAAACGATTTATATAAAGTGGATCCAGAAGTTGTAGCCCGTCTCTGCCTACAATATTTTGATATTTTTCACCCTGTTGATGGTTTTACTGAGCAGGTGCCACTTTTGTCATACGTTTCTTTTTAAAACATGTTTAGACTGTTCAGATTACAAATCCAGGCTCTGTCCTGTTTGATTGTTGTAATTAAACTTTGTAAGTGGGGAAGGTCAGAAAAGGATCCGATCATTTTGTTTTTCCCTCACTTACAGTGACGGAGATAATGGCGCAGGGCGCCTGGCTCTGGTGTTAATCAAGTTTAATTTTATCTATTTTCACAAGAAAACAAAACAGTTAAAATCAGGGCTTGTGTTGACCGGATAGTTCCCGTATTTGACCGTTTATTTTGACGGAGAAAGAATAGAAAGAATTACCCCGACGCATGCAGAAGAACTGACATTTTATTCTACGCAAATCGCAGATGTTGCTAAATCACTCAAGAAAAGATTCCCATCTGAACATCTGAGCTGGACACTGCTCAGCGCAGCTCGCTGTCAGCGTGTACTACATAAGGTACACAGCGAGCTGAAGATGTGGAGAGGGGCTTGGAGCGCGTCGCAGAACCAGAGCGCATGCGGGGGTCGGCTGATCTGAATCTGATGCGGCTCTCTGTGCTTGTAAAATAATGAATGGATATTTAAATAAAATGCTTTATATTTTACTGAATTAATTTTATAACTGTAAGTCAATTCTATGTAAAGATTGTCTGTGTAAACCTGAACAGGGCCAACCCAGTCTCACTGTGAGACCGGGTTGATGGGTCACGCTTGTGCGTAATCATATGCGCTTTCTGAGCTGAAGAGGATATGAGATTCTGGGCTTCTCCTCAGACGGCTCATGGATGTGTCGCCACATTGGAGACAGGAACAAGCACTATTCAGCCAAAGTTTCATTATCAGGGAGCATTTTCTAAGTGGCAAGTCTCTCTGAGCGACAGGGTTTGGAAAACACTCGCTTCAGTGGGAGGAACCTTCCCGCATGCGCTCTGGTTCTGCGACGCGCTCCAAGCCAGTCTCCACAACTTCAGCTCGCTCTGCACATATGCGCTGACAACGAGCTGCGCTGAGCAGTGTCCAGCTCAGATGTTCAGATGGGAATCTTTTCTTGGGTGATTTAGCTACATCTGCAATGTGCATAACGAATAAGATGTCAGTTCGTCTGCATGCGCCGGGTAATTCTTTCTATTCTTTCTCCGTCAAAATAAACGGTCAAATACGGGAACTGTCCGGTCAACACAACACAATCCCTGCTTTTGACTGTTTTGTTTTCTTGTGAAAATTGTTGGAAAGAGATCAAATTTAACTTGATCACCAACAGAGCCAGTGTGCCGTTATCGCCGTGACGGTAAATGAGGGACAAACAAATTGATTGGATCCTGCACGTCTTTTAACACATTGGTCAGGATTGACGCACTTTGTTTTCATTTAGTTGGTTAAAAAAAAGTCGGGCTCGGGTCGGGCCAGAGAATCCTGAAAACCTTTTCGGACCGGGTCGGGTTGGGGCTTCACCTCCTCGAGCCGGGCCGGACACGGGCTCAGATTTTAGGCCCGTGCAGGACTCTACCACAGAGCTCCATTCAATAGGAAACTAAGCGATTGGTGGCAACAGGGCTACTAACTATGTTAGCTACATCAAGCCATCCATATCGTTATAGTCGGTTACTGACGATAACTTGTAATCACCACAAGGAGGGACTTATAAATATGAAGTGCAGCACAGAACTGCTCACTTCAGAGCTCTGCACATTAGCTGTTGTCTGGAGGGACTTTGGACAATAATTTTGTGATTTGCAACTTTTCATATCCTGTTAAATGGTGGAAGAAAAACTCACTACTTTATTTAACTCCACATTTGTTCTTCCCACTAAATTCGATCTTTGAGATTTTTCCAACATCCCTCATGTTAAGTAATATTACGTCTTCTTGTGTTTTGTTTACATCATGACTGTTCTTGGAAGTGGTTTTCTCCTTTCTGTTATCTGCCTGGTAAAGACTCTTCATACTCCCAATATATGATTGTGTTCAACCTGGCTTTGACAGACTTGTGTGGGAGTACTGCTCTCATCCCAAAAGTCTTGGACACATTCTTGTTCGACAGGAGATACATTCTCTATGAGGCATGCTTGAGTTATATGTTCTTTGTTTATTTATTTAAATCTGTGCAGACATGGACTCTAGTCACTATGGCATATGACAGATTTATAGCTATTTGTTTCCCGTTAAGATACCACAGTATTGTAACTAAAAGGTCTGTAGTTGCAATGCTGCTGGTTTCCTGGGGTTTTGTAATGAGTTTTCTTGCAACCTTGGTTGGGTTTCTTACTCATCTTTCTTTCTGTGGATCTTTAGTAATAGAAAGATTTGTTTTGTGATCATGGACCAATATATCTTCTGGCCTGTAGCAATGCTTACTATAGCTACATAATAGGTATTATTGGTTTCCTTGTATTTTCTTGTATCCCTCTTATACTGATAATTATAACTTATGCCAGAATTTCAATTGCACTGAGCAAAACCACTTGAAGAGATCAATGACTTAGAGCTCTGAAAACTTGTACATCTCACTTGGTTCTTGTTGCTGTTTTTTCCTACCTTATGTCAGCACTAATGTAGCTGCGCTGACTTCTTATATTCATCCCAATGCCAGAATCATCAATGCTAGTTTAACACACACACTTCCATCTCTGATTAATCCAATTATATACTCTTTAAAGACAGAAGTGATGAAGGCTATTAAGAGATTCTGCAAACGAAACAGGTTTAAAAATACAGTGACAAACCAATGAGATCTACTACTATAAACGTAATATATTCCTTTAAATTCCCACATTTCCAACATATTGAGGTAATCACTAAAATCGAGTCATTTCTGAAACTCATTAAAAGATGTCTGCACTTGTCTACAGGTAATCTTGCCCTCTTCTGTGCAAACTGTGCCACTTGTCTCAGGTCTGAAGGGTTTCTTCCTATGACCAGTTTTGGGCATCTTACTTTAAAAAAGTAATTGGTTATGGTTACAAATTACTTTTTCAAAAAAGTAACTGAGTTGGAAACTCAGTTAGAAACTCAGTTACCACATTGTAAAAGTAATTAGTTACCTAGCAATGTAATTGTGATATTATTTTAATGTTCTATAACGCAGTTACGTTCGTTTATATCTAACATCAACACGTTTTTAACTGAATGTTTCTTACTGTGTTTAACAAACATTTCAGATATATGAATTTCATTCAGTAAGAATCATCTTATGAATATCTGGAATGTTAGTTTGTACTAAGAACAACAGAATTTCAGATATCTGGAATACATATCCACTATACTTAATAAATGTAAAAAAAAAAAAAAAATAAAAAATAAGCCATCTTAGGTTTTAAAGGATTTTGCAATATCTTAAATTCAGTTCCTACTTTTGCAGTTATGGATATCTTTGATTATAATTTTTTACAAGTAACAACATAGCTGTTGATGTCTTAATTTGCAATTTCCCAATAAGAATACAATTGGTACTAGAATGAGAGGCACAGGCTGACGGGGATATGCCCAACTTTTTAACTGTAGCCCAATTTATACTTCTCTGTCAGCTCTGCAAGGGAGAGACGCACACGCATTGATGGAGACATTTTAATTTCGGACTTCTCTGTCACTTGGTGTAGCAGTTAAAACATAATAATTGTTAGGTTCGTTGGCAGATCTGAAGCGTGACTGAGAGGATCTGTTGCCCAGATGCAGAGTGATGGAAATAACCAGCGTGGTTATCTCCTGAAGGTTTGGATGGAAGGTTTAGAGGGCTGGTAAGCCTGGAGACTCGATACAAAGTCTGGTGAGAACGATGACTGAGTAATGAATGAAACGCCGGCACTTCCTTAAGTAGTGTCGGAGTTGTAACGTGAGGAAATATGGGTTTTCTGGCACAATGGTGGTGCTGGACTCAGCTGGGTCAAAGCTGGGTCATTGAGAACTTTCACCCACAGATTAAGACCTGAACGCCAGCGAGTCTGGGAGGAAACCATAACATCTGCCACCTGTGGTACCAGAAGAAGGAGTTCTCATGGACAAGTAGTCATAACAAATCAAAACATAAAGTTTAAACTTCTTTTTCTTGATTTTAATGTTAAAGTAACCATTATCATTTTGCTCATTATAAATGTGTTTAATCAAATGAATGGTTCTTATGCTTTTGGGTAATTATAATGGATTAATGAATCCACACTTAAGTAGATAATGTTGAGAATGTTTGGTACTGACCTTCACACACACCCACACACATCTTCCCACAGTAAACTCCAGACACATTTGATGACGCACATGTTTGCTTTGAGAAGAGAAAGGCTTTTGGTAAGTTTCAGTCCTTATGATTCCAGTTCGTGCTTGACTACGAAAGAGAGAGGACGTGTGAACAACCGCTAACGGGGAACGGAGCCCATGGGCTCAATCCCCCCCCCCCCCCCCCTCTCTCTCTCACGCTGTTTCTGCCAAGCCAGGCAGAATAGCTGAATCGCAACTTCTAACGCAGACTCATTACCAAGTCTTTTGATTTCTGAGTGAATTAACTTAAGAAAGCGCGTCGACAAAACGCTTTACCATCAACGTGTACCGAGGGCAACTCTGGACCGGTTCCGTTCGACACCTACGTCTCCTGTCAGCCGCCGGTGTCATCTGGATGAATCACAACATCCTCCACGGCCCGAATCCGAAAGAGGGTCCACAAGAATTCGGTGAGACAGAACACGGTGTTTAGCGTTTGGATGCATCTTTTCTGACTAAACCTAAGTTTATTCAAACCATCAATTTTCATTCAGACACCTGTTTCTTCCTGAAGCAAAATCAGATGCACACACGCATCCATCTCACCTCATATCACTCTCACCACTCACAACATTCTCAATCTTCATAAATTCACCAGAAGGTCTATTTGAGCAAGAACAGCATATAAACTGTTAAAAGATTGTCCCACAAAGTTGCCAATGTGATTGTTATTTCCTGTTTGTCAATTTTCAAAATCATTAGTTTAATTTGAAGAATTAAAACTTTTAATCCTTCAAACTGGTTTCCTCATTGAACTGAAACACAGACACTCAGATATTATCGGCAGTATATCGATGAAAACAACCTTTGAGTCTTCTGAACAATATAAAATTTGGTTATTGATTTATTAAAAATTAATATTCCGAATTAATACGTAGCATGGTTCCTCTTTCATAAAAGAGCATAAAACCACAACGCTACAGCGTGATGACATCAGCTGCCACGTTGGTGGCAGGAATGATGGGACAGAAGTCAGCGGGATGAGTTCATGACATTAATTAATAATGATCAATAAGATGTGATTATCCCATATAAATATGAAATATCTATCTGATTGATCTTTAAATGTTTAATCAGAAGATTCTGGGGTCCTTTGCTTCTTTAGGGACCATAAACACATTTCGTATTAATTCAGACAGAGTCAGTATGTAGTTTATAAAATGAATATAATTATTTTTCCCAAGCTAAAAATGTATACATTTACAAGGTAAAGAAACATCTAATTACATCACTGTGTTAAATAAGAAAAAAAGATAATTAAGGTTAAGTTTCCTTTTCCACAACAACCTATATTTTTCTGCGAACTAAAGGAGAAGACATCAGTTGTTTTGTATCACCAGTGACAAAACCCTTTAGTCACTACTGACGTCAGCATCTAATTGGTGGTGGTAAGGTGGAAAATATAAATTTAGAAAACAATACAGTAGAATTCATTTCAGAATGATGCACATGTGTTGTTGTTTGGAGGGAGTTGGGTTACGGTGATTTGCTGCTTTTCATATCTCATAGGATAGCAGTAATGTCCTCTGAAGAAAAACTCACTACTTTATCTAACACCACATTTGTTCGTCCTGCAAGATTCTACCTCAGTGGGTTTTCTAACATGCCTCATGCTAAATATTATTATGTCTTCTTGTGTTTTGTTTACATCATGACTGTTCTTGGAAATAGCTTTCTTCTTTCTGTTATCTACCTGGTGAAGACTCTTCATACTCCCAAATATATAATTGTGTTCAACCTGGCTTTGACAGACTTGTGTGGGAGTACTGCTCTCATCCCAAAAGTCTTGGACACATTCTTGTTTGACAGGAGATACATTCTCTATGAGGCATGCTTGAGTTATATGTTCTTTGTTTATTTATTTGGATGTGTGCAGTCATGGACTCTAGTCACTATGGCATATGACAGATTTATAGCTATTTGTTTCCCGTTAAGATACCACAGTATTGTAACTAAAAGGTCTGTAGTTGCAATGCTGCTGTTTTCTTGGGGTTTTGTGATGAGTTTTGTTGCAACCATGGTTGGGTTCCTTAATCGTCTTTCTTTCTGTGGATCTTTAGTGATAGGAAGTTTTTTCTGTGATCATGGACCTGTATATCGTCTGGCCTGTAATGATATATCTTATAACTACATAACAGGGCTTATTGCCTTCCTTGTATTTTCTTGCATCCCTCTTATGCTGATAATTATAACTTATGTTGTCATTTCAATCTCACTGAGCAGAACCACTTCAAAAGATGAAAGACTTAGAGCGCTGAAAACTTGTACATCTCACTTGATTCTTGTTGCTGTGTTTTTTCTACCTTATGTCAGCACTAATGTAGCTGCGCTGACTTCTTATATTCATCCGAATGCCAGAATCATCAATGCTAGTTTAACACACACAATTCCATCTCTGATTAATCCTATTATATACTCTTTAAAGACAGAAGAAGTTATAAGTGCAATTAAAAGGCTCTACAAAAGAAACAGACTTAACATTGTGACAAACTGGTAAAATCTATTGTTCTCACTAGAAAAGTACTTTTTGTAATTTATGTTGTTTTCTTTGTCTTTGTAATAGAAGTTTGCTACAATTTCACACCTGCCTGACAAAAAGATTGTAGCTAATTCTTTATTTACTTGCCCTTTGCAATGATTGAGACAACTGCTTCTTTTTCTTAGACAAGCTTGCAGTGTATGCATCTCAGCTGCAACCAAAACAAGTGCATCCATGACGATTCTTCAACAATAGACCTTCAGGATCTTTTCTAAGCAGACTCCATCTAGAAAGCATAAGACATCATATAAAACTGTTCTCAACAACCAGTTTGTGGTCATGGCCCATGTATAATGTCTGGTCTGTAATGATGCATCTCATAGCTACATAACAGGTATTATTGCCTTCATTGTATTTGCTTGTGTCCCTTTTATATCGATAACTGCAATTTATGTTGGAACATCAATCGCACTGAGCTGATCCACATCAACGATCAAAGGCTTAGAGAGCTTAAAACTTGTACATCTCATTTGTTTCTTGTTGCAGTTTTTTTCCAATCATGTATTGGCACTAATGTTACTTCCTCTATTCATCCCAATGCCAGAACCGTAAATGCAAGTTTAACACACATATCATATCTTATTAACCCAAATATAAACTCTTTAAAAACCGAAAAAGTGACCAATGCTTTTAAGACAGTTTGTAAAAGAGACTTAAGAATACAGTGACAATTTCTTGATATCTATTACTGGTTTTATTGTAACAAAACTTTAAAATTTTTATATTATGTTTTCTATGTCTTAGTAATATAATCCTGTCATGTTTCCTCATTTGCCTGAATAAAAATATTCATACATTTAAATAATGTTCATGACCAGTGATTTTCTGGTTTGCACATCAGTCAGATTCTCCAAACATTTTAATTGAGATAACAGGTTCTCTTTAGGGGTAAATGTAACTTTTAGATCCAGAGCTTGTAATTACCCATAAATGATGCATGAATGTGTGTTCACACCAGGGCTGGGCAATAAATTAGTAGTATATCCTTATCGAAATTTCTGACTCTGCTCAATATCATTTTATCCGTGTCAATAAATTTGGCAATAAAAAACATAAAAAGGCGTTTGTAGGTTGGCAATGCTCATGTCACTTTAAGAAACTTGCCATGGGTGACCCTACCACTGGCATGAAGCCTGAAAACAGAAGAAGACAGAAATTTTAAATTTCTTTACACATACTGGTTGTTAAACTTCCTTAAAATCCCTTTAAACCAACAAAATGGATCCCCTCAACACCTTGGCTGCACCAAGAAACCCTGTCCTTAACCCTCTCAGGCTCAAAATAAGTTTTGATAAAAGGACGAACAACTAAGTCCTTCAGGGGTACTTCTGAGTTAAAAAATGATCATGAAATACATATGTGGAGTAACCAGGTAGGTAGGTTTTAAAGTTGCAAATCTGCAACGCCTGCCTCCAGAGGGTTCAAAGTTATGAACAGAATTTGTGGCAAAGGGCATCCTTGGCAGAGTCCAACTCTCACCATGATCAAGCCCAACTTACTGCCGCTGTTGGTGCCAGATCTGCTAGGGCTGCCAGATCGGCTCAGGGTCATGCGCCTGCTGACGCCACATTAATACCAACCCACTTGGCTTTCACACACACGTTTTGGAAAGACAACAGCAGTTTTGTCAATAAATTCTTGCTTGTTACAACCTAAATATTTTCTTTATAATTTTAATTTGTTCATAAAACACTATATTATCTTTGTTTTGTAAAGAATGTGAAACTACATAAAACAACCTCAGACTGCCAAGAAACAGAACAGTTCTTATATGTGAAGCCATATCTGTTTGTATAAATGTGGAATTCATCTGTATATTTCCTTAGTTGTTATGTAAATACATCCATTCATTCATTCAATATGTTGATTGCCGTCTTTTCGATAAAGTTCTTATAATGTATTTAGCCCCATTTCATCAAAATCTAGAACTCCTCCACCAGTTCTTATGTTCTTCCCATCCTTCACACTTTTAACATCTCATGTCGGTGACGTAACATAAATGGGGGCTCGTCCGGGATTTTTAATAAAAACAGACCGTGAAGGAATGTACAAATCCCCTGGTGGTGGTAATTTTAATGGTGTTTTGTTTGTTTTAAAGGTTTTAAGCTTCAGATGACTTGGATGACTGGCGGGTGCATCTGGAGGCCCCGCCCCCGCAGGAGGATCCAGCCAAGCATTACAGAAGTGGACCCAGAGATGACCCCTACAGGCAGGCCCAGATGTTGCACCTAGTGGGTTAGTGTTGGTGATTCACCTCACCATCTCGGAAGCACCCCAGGAAGGACAGGGGCTAACCCCCTCCCTTTGCTGGTTTGAATGTGCCTCGGCACATGTGCTTAATCTGCCCACCCGCAAAGTGCATGAAGAGTAGGGATTTTTTGAAATGGCCTGTTCTGTTTTTATCTGGGTCTCTCCTGTTTTAATCCCCCAGAGTCTTCGTCCCCCATCCTCAAGAGTCTTCGATGCCCCCTTCGCCCTTGAGAGTCTTCGATGCCCCCTTCGCCCTTGAGAGTCTTCGATGCCCCCTTCGCCCTTGAGAGTCTCCGATGCCCCCCTTCGCCCTTGAGAGTCTTCGATGCCCCCCTTCGCCCTTGAGAGTCTCCGATGCCCCCCTTCGCCCTTGAGAGTCTTCGATGCCCCCCTTCGCCCTTGAGAGTCTTCGATGCCCCCCTTCGCCCTTGAGAGTCTTCGATGCCCCCCTTCGCCCTTGAGAGTCTTCGATGCCCCCCTTCGCCCTTGGAGAGTCTTCGATGCCCCCCTTCGCCCTTGGAGAGTCTTCGATGCCCCCCTTCGCCCTTGAGAGTCTTCAGAGAGTCTTTGTCGCCCCCCTCGTCCTCCAGTGTTTTTAAGAAAAAGTTTTAAAAGTTGGTGTTGTGGTGTTACTAACTTTTATCTTTTTTCTTGTTTATGTGTGGGTGTGTTACGGATGCCAGGCTGACCAGTGGAGAGAAGCAGCCAGAATCACCCAGCTCTGTTGAATAAGCCTGACACTGCCCCTCCTCCTCCTCTCTCCCGGGCTGCTGAGGAGCACAGCTGCAAGGAATCTTCACTGATTGCCATCACCTGTATAAAAAGGCTGTGCCTTCAGCAGTCTGAGAGGCAGCAGTGCAGGGGTTCTGCTGTCCTGGTTTTGTGTAGTTTTAACCCCTGTTCGTTTGAATTTGTTTGAGTTTTAAACTTTGGTTGTTTTTAACTCTTAATGAGAAACTGAGGATGATCCAGTGGGATCTTTTGTATGTTCTGTTTTTAAGGTTAACTTTAATTGTGGCAATTTTCCTGACTTGTTTTAACACCTTTCGTGTTGGTAAAGCTTTTAAGATACGTTTTTACCAGGTGTTTTTAGTCAGTGGATTGTTTTGAACTTTTATCAACTTCAGGATTTTAAAACACCTTCGATGCGGTAAAACTTTTAACAAGTTTTTACCAGGTGTTTTATAGTTGATAATTTGCTTTGTACTGTTAACCTTTTAGAGAAATCAGTTTTGCTCGTGTTTTAATACCTTTTGTACAAATAAACCCATTTTAAACTCCTCCACCAGTTCTTATGTTCTCCCCATCCTTCACACTTTTAACATCTCATGTCAGGGACGTAACAATGGAAATTAAACTAATAAGATGAATAACATGAAATTATTTTAGGCACAGACAACATCCCCCACACTTTTGAAAAGCTTGCAACGCGCCTGGTCGCTCATGTACATCAAAGTTATCTTTCATAAGACGATAATCAATAAAACGATTTATATAAAATGGATCCAGAAGTTGTAGCCCGTCTCTGCCTACAATATAAATAGACCCGTCAACCCGATCCCACAATAAGACCGGGTTGGAACTGTTCCAGTTTACGCAGACAAGCTTTACATTTAGAATTGGCATACAGATGTAAAATTAATGCAGTAAAATATAAAGCTTTTTATTTAAATATCCAGTCATTATTTTACAAGCACAGAGAGCCGCATCAGATGGATGGAAGAGCTGCATGCGGCTCCAGAGCCGCGAGTTGCCAACCCCTGAGCTAGCCTACTTTATTGTCCCCAGCAATTTTTAAACCCCACTCAAGTGTATGGTTATTGTCCCCAGCAATTCTGACAACAAACTGACGCCCTTGATGACTGTTCTTGGAAATGGCTTTCTAATTTCTGTAATCTACCTAGTGAAGACTCTTCGTATTCCCAAATATATGATTGTGTTCAACCTGGCTTTGACAGACTTGTGTGGGAGTACTGCTCTCATCCCAAAAGTCTTGGACACATTCTTGTCTGACAGGAGATACATTCTCTATGAGGCATGCTTGAGTTATATGTTCTTTGTTTATTTCGTTGGTGCTGTGCAGTCATGGACTCTAGTCACCATGGCATGTGACAGATTTATAGCTATTTGTTTCCTGTTAAGATACCACAGTATTGTAACTAAAAGGTCTGTAGTTGCAATGCTGCTGTTTTCCTGGGGTTTTGTGATGAGTTTTCTTGCAACCATGGTTGGGTTTCTTAATCGTCTTTCTTTCTGTGGATCTTTAGTAATAGAAAGTTTTTTTTTTGTGATCATGGACCAATATATCATCTGGCCTGTAATAATACTTACTATAGCTACATAATAGGTATTATTGGTTTCCTTGTATTTTCTTGTACCCCTCTTATACAGATAATTATAACTTATGTCAGAATTTCAATCGCACTGAGCAGATTCACTTCAAGACATCAAAGACTTATAGCTCTGAAAACTTGTACATCTCACCTCATTATTGTTGCTGTTTTTCTTACCCTTTATTAGCACTAACCTAGCTGCTTCTAAAATTCATTCCAATGCCAGAATCATAAACTCCACTTTATCACACACACTTCCATCTCTGATTAATCGTATTATATACTCTTTAAAGACAGAAGAAGTGATAAGTGCTATTAAAAGGCTCTGCAAAAGAAACTTATTTAACACAGTGACAAACCAGTGAGATTGATTACTGTTTTCACTATAAAGGTACTTTTTTTATTTTATGTTGTTGTTTTCTTTGTCTTTGTAAT